GAGCCTTCTTGGCACGGTGCCCATCACATCGGCCATGCGGCCCCGTGGAAGGAGCTGCCCTTGGCGCTCTCCCTGAGAATGCGGGACACTTGGATGGGCTCGGCCCGAAAAATAGCCGTGACCTTTCTGTGTTCTGCTATCAGGAAATCGGAGGCGATGTGGTCCTGTCCTTCACGATGCTTGACGACCAACTCGTGCTGCACGGCCCCATGGGTGCCTTCCCTGTAGGTTCTGCATGGGAGACTACTGAGGCAGTGCAATGTGGTGACGCTTCTTTCCCTCCTCAACCGACCGTTCTGCCTCCGTGTGGGACCCTGCGCCATTGTCTGGGGGCCCTTTAGCAGGTAAGGCCCAAGCTGCATTCCCCACAATCGAACAGGGGCAACAATCACTCGCACATCCTCGCAAGCCCCTCATTACGGTCAGTGATATTGAGGGCTTGCCTTCGGCAATGCAAGCACAATGGCCAGACGTCTCTGTGCTTCCCGCTGAAACCATCACGCGAGCCAGTAAGTACCTAACCTTTGTTACTAGGCACGACCCTAAGACTCCTGCGACGGTAGACGGCTTTGTCCTGCTGGAAAGCATCGCTAGCCGCACACATTTGATCCGCGCCCTGCGGAACCTTGCCCGTGAAGGCCTGTCGGTCACCGCTGATGCGCTAGCTGCCGTCGTCGTCAGTACACACAGCAAGGCACGCTTCGAAATCAAGCTCGCGGGTTGTGCATTCGGGCCATCGCGGGCCACACAGCCGTCCTCGACCCTACCCGCCATCTCCCCTTGATGCGGCATGATGAGGCCATCCGGCGTAGTATAGCGCTCCATTGCACGACTTGGGTCAGCGCCGAGTCCATCCTTTTGATGGGGCTGCTTCCGGGCGCCTTGATGGGTGGCAAGCGTACTCACATCCACTTGACCACCTACCCGCTTAACACACAGGGTTTTGTGGAGGCCCGGGCAATCGGCCATACGCCATCGCAGTTGACCTTGTGAAGTGCCTTCATGCAGGGGTGGCGCTATACATTGCGGGTGGTGAGACTGTGCTCACCTCCGGGGTTGCCTACACCCTCACTGATGGCCAGGAAGTGCAAGGCATTCACCCCTCCTACATTTCTGCCGTATATGATGCCTTCACTGGTAAGGACGTCACGGACACAATCGTGCCGGGCTCCTCCCGGTCACAGGCAACTCCGATGGAGGTTTCCACCGCGGAGGCCGCGCCTGACGATGTGCCTCGAGTGACTGTGCACACTAAGGAGGAACTGCAAGATGCCCTTGAATACCTTACTGCTGCCGTGGAGGCCTCGCAGGAGGCTGGACAAGGTGGGGAGACTTCGGCCACTGAGGCCACGAGCATGTCGGATGACGGTGCAGACCACACCGCCTCGGCTTCTCGTCCTGGTGGGACCCACTGGGTACCCCAGGGCGAGGATGCTGGGCAGGAGGCCATGCAAGTTGACGACGGTGCCCCGCTCGAAAGGATGTTGGCGCCTGATGAGATCAATGAAGCCTTGAGTGCCCTGCACCTCAGGAATGTGCCGTTGATCGAAGTCAGTGTAGCCAGCTCCGCGCGGGAATTCCATGAGTGCCTACCCGCCACTGACGAGGATGCGGCTCGGCTCGGCTTTGTGTCAGCCTTTGCTCCGGAGCCGGAAGATGGTCCGGTCGGGCGCGGCCTGCAGGACGATGCGGAAATTGAGGAAGACCTCGATCCGGCAGTGCTTGAGAGCCTGGACGAGGCAGTTGCTGCGAGAGCTGGCCGCTGCTAAGGAAGTCCTCTCCCTGCGTGACTTGAGCCATGTCACGCTGCTTCCCACTAGCTACCCGTGGGGTGACGTCCTGTTCAGCACTGACCCGGCCACCAAGGCAGGGCTGCATGCTGTGCGCAACACGCTTGCCCTCCGCAGACTGAGTCCGGACGCCCCTGCCTTGGGAAGTGAGGAAAAACTGCGCTTCCTGCGCTCGTGGCTCCTGTGTCTGGCCACCGCTCTTGCCTCCGTCTTCGAGCCGCTAGGCAGAGAGGATGCGCATCCTCGTGTCCGGCAGCTTATGCTGGATCGCTTGGCCCAGCCGCAATTCTGGAACGCGGCTCTCACCATAGCTACCAGACAGCACGCTCAGCTCCTTCAAATGCATGACACCCTTGAGGAGCTGGAGACAGGTGCTGAGTCCCTCGCCACGAGGGAACAGGTAGCACAGTGGTTTGGACGTTCCGGCCCAGGCGACTGCATAGGCTGAAAGTTCACATCCCAGTCGCAGCTATGGCGTATCTTTGTGACACCGACACCGCTGCCTCGGCCAGTAAAGACGGAGTGGCGCTCAAGGGTACGATCCAGGCTTCCAGGAGCATGCGGTTTGTCATGGCAGGCGGACTGAAAGCGGGTTACACACCGCCTATTTTCCAGGACGTGGAGCCCCACCGCCACCTTCTTCTGCAACAGCTTAGAAGTCGGCAGGCCTTCCCCTTCGACTGCCAAGACTACTGCGGCCTGGTGGGGGCCCTCGAACCTAGTGTAATCCGGACGGATATGTGGATCCCGTTCCCTGCCGCAGGCCAGTCCTTTGCGGACTTTGCGCGTAGGGCACATGTCTCTTCCCACCGTTGGAGGTCTGCCGTTCTTGCAACCCCGCCCGTGCTTGATGCCGATACCGCGGAGATAATACTTCCGTCGGTTGATGCCTTTCAAGTTCAGGCCTCGGGCATGACACTGCAGGAGCTCCGCAGCAAGGGAACTAAAACTTCCAGGAGTGTGGACGATTTCTTGGACGCGCCATCGCTTAGTGCTTTCAATGCGCTCACCAACACAGTCCGCAGCACGTTGCGCCTCCATTAATGGGACGCACGGATTTGGTCGCCATCTCCCCGCTCACCGCCCACCGATCTGCCTAGGCAGCTCGTGCGTGCCATGGTGGGTCATGGCGACCCGGTGCATCCTTAAAAACTATCACCCCATGCCACTCTCTCCTGCATCACCAATTCGGTACATTTCCTTGTGCTGCATGAGGTGGGAGTTTCCATGTGTATTGGGCCTTGCCCAATCTCGTGGTTCTCCCTGTCGTTCTTCGTGCCAGCGGCACTGCACACTTGCATTATTGCCTGGTGAAGTGTTCGGTACTTCCACACTTGGCCCACCCTGCGGTGCCGCAATCCGGTGAGACATGCATAGAAGTGTGCACCCTAAATCCTAATCCCCTACTCAGTAATCCCGCTGCCTATTGCTCGCTCTGCATGACAGAGTGTGCATGCGTTTCTTCCGATAACCTATCTCGCAGCAGGATGTAGAGGGAGGTGCCCCCTTTTCATTCATGAGCGTAGTGGTTATTGGGCCCTCCCCCTGTTGTCGCCTGGCCTCTTGGCCGCTCGTTTGTTTGGTTACCAGGCGACACCTTTCATGACGAATATTGTCGTCACTTTGGGGCATTTCCTTGCGATGCATGAGGCGGGAGTTTCCAAGTGTATTGGGCACTGCCCAATCTCGTGGTTCTCCCTGCCGTCCTTGGTGCCAGCGGCACTGCGCACTCGCATTGTTGCCTGGTGCATTGGTCTGTGCTTCCGCACTTGGCCAATCCGTCGCGCCGCAATCTGGTAAGACATGCAGATCAGCGCACCCTAAACCCTAACACACCACTTGGTAATCCCGCTGGACTACTGCTCGCGCTCTGCAACACAGAGTGTTTGTGCATCAACCCATAGACCAACATGCCGATTTCAGGTTGCAGATTGGAGGCTCCTCTCTCTCTTCAATGAGCCCTGAGGTCCTTGATGTGCTTTGCTTGGCAAGGCCTTCTGGCCTCTTACCCGCTCGCCTGTTTTATGCTCCTAGGCGTGACACTCCCTCTGGACGGTCGTAGTCCTAGCTTAAAACATTCCTGGAAAGATGTGTGCCTCAGGTGGCCCTATGGCGGGTGCTTTTGCTTCTCGATGAATATGCACCCACCTAAGTTTGAGCCGCCCTCTAATCTGTGACTAATCTCCATGCCTACAGGCATCATACCTGCACTTGAATGGTCGCTACTCCGCTAGGTACGCTCTTGCGACAGACACAGTGCCTTGTCGGGTTTGCCATGCTCACGTACACTGTGGCAGGGATTTCCCTGTCAGTGGTGCGAACGTTACGCAATGGGACAGAATGCCTCTGGTGAATTTGGCACGGCCAGATCTCCTTGGGTTTCTGCTTCCCGCTTGTGCATTTTGCCACGGTGTACCTACGCACTTGTAAAAATGCTTCAGCGCTTGGCTCCCATCCTCACTATCGGTTGGGATCATCGCTGTCCCTGCGGATTTTGCGTAGCGTATAGTGCAAACTTGATGGTGCATTGCACGCTCACCCTTTGTCTTGTGTGCAATGCTTGATGGCCAGGCCTGTGACGCCCGTCACACTTGCCTGGCCATAGCAACTCCGCTCGATGTCAGTGCGAGAGTAATTCGTTGCACGGCCTCTTTTTGCCTCTGTGCTCCGGGTGATGCCTGTGCACAATTTAATTTACTGCATGCTCGCCTTTTGCTGGCCCTTGCTTGGCCCTTTTTGCCTTCTTCTTCTGTGTGTTGCTTTGCCAAATTTTTGGAACATTGCGCTCGTTGCTCCAGCCGTGTGGCCACGTGTGGGGGTTGACGATGCGCAAATGTGCCCCCTGCGGTCTGGAGCGCGCATGTTCCCATTTTTAATGTGCTCATGCTTCACAAGCCTAGCTCCTCGGTGTAGTCAGTGTCTTCTGGAACTATGTTCCAAGCTCTCTCTTTTAATTGCCGCGTTGGCTCGTCTCTTTCCGCTCTGATCGGCTGGGGAAAGGTTTTTCGTTTGGTTCCGCGTTGTGTTGCTTGTTGGTTCGTCGCGTTGTGTTTTCGGCCCTTTCCTTTGTTTGGCTCATTTCACCAGCACTTTGTTCCTCTCGGTCTCACCCGTCTCACTTTCGATGATTGTATAGTCGTTCTCGTGACCGATGGCTTAATGCCCCAAGGCGCGCGCGTGACAAAAAATGCTCTTCCACAAGCGCCCGAGGCCCGCCGGCGCAGCGTGGCGAAGGAGCTGATGATTGCCCTGGGCTTTGGGGGTGGTTTCGCAAACTGGACGAGCAAGGTGCTGCAGGACATACCCTTGGCTCGGATGAGGGGGAGCGCGGCGAGGTGGCTGCTTGGCTCTACGGCTTCGAGACGGCGGCGCGCCTCTACCACGTGGCCGTTTTTGAGCTGCTGCCACAGAAGGCTGGCGCATGGAGCAGGGCCGCTCCACTGCCTCCCACCACGAGAGGTTGCAGATGGAGAAGATGGCCGCGGCAGCGGGCAGGGCCTTCAACGACCACCAGCACGACGGCATCGGGGCCCTCCGCTCCGCGAGCGAGGCCGTGAAGCGAGCCGTGGATGTCGAGGTGGTCGTGCACGAGCTGGAGGACCCGTGCACACGCGGCGGCGAAGTACCCCAACTTGGATTGGAGACTCAAGTCGAAGATGGAGTTCTCCGGGTACCACCAACTGCTCCAGCGCTGCAGGCAGCGCGTCATACTTGGAGGGCGAGGGCAAACACCGTGGACTTTGCGAAGCTGGCGGCGGCGCAGCTGGTCCCGGTCGTACACGTTCCTTTTTTTTTTTTTCACCCTGCCGCCTTGAGCCTAGTGGCATCGGTCGGCTAACTTGAGACTTATCCGTGTACCAGGGTGGAATCGAACCCCGGCGACTGTCTGACGTTGGCCCGGAGACCAACGTCTTTACCATCTCACCACGGCGACGTCACCCGGTCGTACACCGTTTTTTCCGGTGGAGGGGGTTAGAAGAGGACCACCTACGAGGGAGCTTCTGGCTGGTGCGAAACCGGGACGACTTGGGCCAGACCGTGGAAGACCTGATGCGCAAGATGTGTTGCCCGGTCTTCGAGACAGCCGATGAGAACTACGTGCCGCCGCCGCCCCTCAACGATAATGCCTTCTTCACCGGTCTGTCCTCGTCCGTTCTGGGGCGTCTGGCAGGCCCGCAGATGGCGGACCTCGACGGCGACGAGACACGGCACAAAATCCTCTTTTGCGACGGCATGCTCTACGATTTCAAGGAGCGTGTCCTCCGATCACCGATCCCCGCCGACCGCATGGGCTTCCACGCGGCGGCGACCTCAGAGATGTGGCAGCCGAGCAAGGCGACCAAGCTCTTCGAGCACATCCTGGCTTTCTTGAAGGAGCATGTGGAGACGGGGGTGTGTCTGCTCGAGGCCAGCGAGAATGGCAAACAGGTCATCGAGTGCTTCGAGGAATTGGAGCAGGACGGGTGCGAGATCCTCCGCCACATGAAGGTGTACGGGGACTGGGACTCCGTCCTTTACGAGCTGCGTCTCATGACCAGGGCCATCTCCGCGACGCCGCGGTTCTGCGAGATGTACTACATCTGGGGAAGCCAGGAGTCCGGGAAGGACACCAAGGTGAAGATGTTGCACGCCTTCCTCGGTCACGGCAAGGACAACTACGGGGTGCAGCTTCCGGGAAATTATGTGGTGCAACAGACTTGCTACCTGACCGCGAAGGACGGACCCGCGCCTTACCATGCAAGGACTCTAGGCAAGCGGCTGGCCTGGGCCAGTGAAGTCCCCGAGCACTACTCGTTGGCGGATGACTTCATCAAGCCCTTTTGTGACATGGAAGGTGCGCCAGTCTGCAGCAGGAAGCTCAACAAGGGTCCGCGGGACTTCATGCCTACGGCTTTGCTGGTGGCAACAAGCAATCACCCTCCCCGTGTGACTCGACCGGATGGGATGCTGCGGCGGCTTCGAGTCTGCCAGACAACGGTCAGCTTCACCTTGAAGCCGTCCATGGCCACCGAGGAGCGAGCCGTGGATGGCCTCAAGACCCGGATAAACCGAGGAGAGTTCAACAAGTACATCTTCTTCCTTGCGGCAAATCTCGTGGACTCGTTGGAGATGGAGTACAACCCAGGCACCGAGATCAAGCCGCAGCCACCGGAGATGAAGATGAGCGCCATGGACCTGGTCCCATGTGCAGACAAGGACGAGGAGGCCAAACCCGAGGCCTTCATGACAGAGATGTGTGAGCTGGTGCCCTTGAAGGAAGCAAGCCTCCACACGGAGCTGACGATGGCGCTGAAGACCTACCTCAGCCTGGACACCTTGGGCGCGGCAAAGAGCGTGATCTCGAAGTTGGGGATCAAAGGACAATCCTATGGCCCGCGGTACATCTCCACCCTCAAGCAAAATGAGCGCATGGTGGGTGTGAAGCTCCGATCGGCATCGACAAGTAGCTCTTAGGCTTTTGGGTGACGTACAGTGTCAGCCATTTGCAGAGACCCGGCAAGTCACGTGAACAGATGGCGTGCTTGCGCAAGGAACACACTGTCCAACCCTTGCTGTCTTGAGCGCGCCTCAGATGTCCAACCCTTGTTAGATGCCTCAATGCCTGAGGCTTCTGCGGTCTCGACGTCTTGCTCGGGCAGGTCGATAGGTCGAGGACACGGACATGGGGATTTAGATTTTTATAATGACGTCGTCCGAGAGACTTGGGGTGCTCTCAGGAAAATCATGCTAGGGTTCCCCAAAAACAGACTCAAAGTACTACAAGTTTCCAGCGCTTTATGCAAAGTTTCCTGTTTGGTCCAAAGTAGCCGTAATCAGTCGAGGGTCCTGGGCCTTGGAGGCGCCAGGAAGTCGTCCAGCTGCCTGACAGCTGCCGGCCTGCCCCGCCTTGTCAGTCGGCCCGCCCTGGGCGCCGGCAGCGCCAGCTTCAGCAGGGTCTCCCGGCCCTCGGTGCTCCGGACGGTCATGGAGTCCACGGCCCGCAGCTGCTGCACGTCGCCGTACTGAGGGTTGAAGCTCCTCGCCGCGTTCGTCGGTGCTCGGAAAGCGCCCGCGTCCTCCACTGCCTTGATGCGGCGGTTCGTCAAGTCCTTGTTGTGCTGGAACCTGTCGGCGTTGTCTTGGAGGACCCTGAACTCTGTGGCCGGCTGCTTCTCCACGTCTTCCGGGGCGCCATGCACCGTCTCGTGGGGCCGCGCGTTGTAGGCCGAAGCGGTCTGCTCAAAGTGGTCGCTCCACTGGCCGCCCTTGCGGGCCACGCGCGTGGCCAGGTCCTTCTTCAGCGTCTGGATTCCCCGGTCCACCACGGCCGTGGCGTTGCGGTCCTCCGGGCGCTTCGTTCGGTGCACGGCTTCCGCGGGCAGCTCCCGGTCCAGCGTGGCGAACTCGTTGCCCAGGTCGGTCGTGACCACGAAGTTCTTGTCGTCCCCCGTCAGCTCCTGCGTGGCACGCTTGGTGGCCCGGCCGACCGTCTCGGCGTTCTTGTTCTGCGAGGTTCCACGGCAGCCTCCCGGGTGAAGACGTCCATCACCACCAGGCCATACTTCGACCGGTGCAGTGTTCCTCTCGACTTCAGCCCTGCAGCCGGTCGGTCGACCCCTATGGCCCGGCTTGCCCAGCGCACGCGGCCGGGGCGCCTGCACCTGCCGGCCCACGTCGGCTTTCAGCGCCTCGAAGGCCATGGCCTGCGTCACGTCAAGGTCGCGCTGCCTTGCAAGTCGGTACGGGTCCCGCACGTTGAAGTCGTCGGCCAGGTCCCTCAGCGCCTCCATGTTTACTTGTCTTCGGCCCCCGCTGGGCCTGCCAGGCTTCCAACTCGTCCAGCCGGGCCTGGAAGCCCTTGCACACCCCCCAGAGCACGCTGGTGAGGTGCGAGTAGTCAAGCGTGATCATCTCCGTGCCGTCGCTCCACCTGGCGGTGCCCGTCAGGTTCTTCCACTTCGTTCCTGCGAAGTCGTTCGAGGCGAGGCCCAGCCTCAGGTCCTCGTTCATGTCCGGGCGCTTGTACTGCATGGCCTCCACGGAGTCGAACAGCTGCAGCAGCTCTGCCACGTCGGCCTCGGCCATCTCCGTCTTCACCCTGCTGTCCGACAAATTCGTGAAGCTCGTGTTGCAGACCACGTTGCCCGTGTTGCCTGCGATCACCAGGCAGCCGGGGTTCCTCTGGTTCGTGGTAGGACAGCTGCGTCGAGAGCTCTTCGTCTGCACCAGCGCCTCGTCGTTGATCATGATGAGCTCGCACTGGTGCGCCCCGCCGTCTCGCTCCAGGAAGACCCGCGCGCTCTGGTTGCCCAGCAACCACCGCAGCTCCGGGCCGCTGTTGGAGGCCGCGCTGTTGTTGGAGATCTGCAGCTTGCTCCAGCCCGCCCAGTTCTTCGTCAAGAAGAGATCGTCCGAGAAGTCGGAGGTGTTGGTCACGATGAGCGTGTTGGACGCGAAGAGCTGCGGCGCGGAGACCGTGCCCGAGCTCGTCACGTCGCCGCAGACCACGCTGCCCGTCGACACTCCGCCGCTCGTGGCTGTGAAGGTGCAGTCCAGGCTCTCGCAGTCCAGCGGGCCCGCGGAGGCCGCCCCGGTGATCGTCAGCGTGGCGCCCGTGAGCGCCCCGGTGGCTGCGAAGCTCGCCGCGGTTGCTGCGCCCGAGGCCGTCAGCGTGCCCGTGGACACGTCGCCCACCGTGGTGAAGTTCCCGGCGTTGGCCGTGTTGTTGATGGTCAATGTGCTGCCCGTGATTCCGGTGGCCGAGCTCAGCAGGCCCACGCTGGCCGCCCCGTGATGCTCAGCGAGCTGCCCGACACGGCGCCGGTGGACGTCAGCGTGGCTCCGGCGACGGTGCCGGTGGCTGTGAGCGCTGCGCAGGAGACTGCGCCCGAGGCGTCCACGCCCGTTGTGAACACGTCCGTGCAGTTCACGTCGTTGCACAGCAGCTGGTCGCAGCCCACGTTGCCCTGCGCAGTGAGTCCGTCCAGAGTGGCCGAGCCCGTGAGGGCCAGCGAGTCGGCCAGCAGGTCCGTCACGGAGACCGAGTCTCCCTCGAAGGCGCTGGCCCTGATCTGCATGCTGTACAGGTCCAGCGTGCCCGCCGACTGCTGCACCAGGCCGGGGATAGACCCGCCGAAGGCTCCGAAGTGCAGCTTCGCGATTCCGCCCGGCGGCGCCGAGAAGTCCAGGCGCGCCGTGCTCCAGACTCCCTGCGAGGGCGTGCCGAGGAAGGTGCCGGTGACGCCCACGTAGTCGTTGTCGGCCGCGCTGACGTACATCACCAAGTTGGAGGCCGTGCCCAGCCTGTACCGGCAGCCGAAGGAGTAGCGTCTCCCCGGCGTCAGCGTGTAGGTGCGCACGATGTTCCAGGCGAAGGCGCTCAGGGTCATGGCGTAGCCCTCCAGCTGGAAGCCTCCCACAGTGAAGCTGGCCGAGGCCACGGAGCTCTGGCTGTTGGAGCGCACCAGAAAATTTCCTAATGTGGTGAGCGTGGGCTCCAGCAGCACCTCTCCCAGGGTGGCCAGCGTGACGTCGTCGGCCCCTCCGTCGAGGAACTCGTGCTTCAGCAGCAGCGCCGAAGCCGCCGTGTCCTCCTCCTCCGCTGTGTTGCCGGCTCCAGGGTTGCGTCCAGGATCTGGAGGCCGTAGACGTCCACCGTTCCTGCCGTCTGGTTGGGCAGGCCCGGCGCCTGGAAGTGCGCCCCGAAGTGCAGCTTCGCAACTCCGTTCGGAGGCACGGTGAAGTACATCTTGGCCGTGCTCCAGGCGCCCTCGTCTCCCGCGAAGCTGCCGTACAATGGGTCGTAGACGTTGTCGGCCTCGGACATGTGCACCACGAAGTTGGAGGCCGTGCCGAGCCGGTAGCGGCAGGCGAAGAGGAGCTCTCGGCCGGGCGTCAAGTTGTAGGTGCGCACGGTTCCACGGGTTCGCCGCCAGGGTCAGGGTGTAGCCGTCCACGCTCGCTGCGCCCGCGGTGTGCGTGGCCAGGACCACGCTGCAGCCGCTGCTGGGGCGAACCGTCCAGTTTGACAGCGAGACGTCCGTGGGGGCCAGGATCTGCTCTCCTATGGCGGCCACCACCTCGTCGGCCCCCCCGTCGTCCGGAAAGCGCGCTGCTATTTGCAGGGCCGAGGCTGCCTCCGTGACTCCGAGCTTGCCAGCCAACAAACCGTCCACTTGTGCGATGGTGTAGTAGCTGAGCAGGGCGGCGGCGATGCTTGAGGCCGTTGCCGTGTCCTGGTCGGCGGCCGAGCGGTACGCCACCAGCGCGGAGGTGATTTGGTTGGTTGTGAAAACATCCTGGTCCGGGCCCGTCCGGTAGGCCAGCAGCGCGCCTGCGATGGCGGCCTGCGTCTGCGTGTCCTGCACGCGTGCCGTGCGGTAGTCTCCCAACAGCGCGTCCACTTGCGCCGAGGCGTAGTAGGCCAGCAGCGCGGCCGAAATGGCACCGGTCGTCTCCGCGTCCTGCGCGCTTGCCGTGCGGTAGTCTCCCAACAGGGCGTCCACTTGTGAGGAGGTGTAGTAGGCCAGCAGCGCAGCCGCGAGGGCCGCGTCCGCCGCTGCGACGGAGTAGCAGTCGGCCGTGATGCTCAGCGTGTCCTCGCCGTTGGCCAGCGCAGCAGAGAGAGGAGCCTCCAGATGCAGGTTGCGAACGACGTTGCTTCCGCGAACGAGCTCCCCAGTTGTGAAGCCCGCCCAGGCCGGTGCGTTAACAACTCCGCCGCTGCCGGAAAGCTGCAGGGCGGCGAGCTCCGCGAGGATTGCGTCGAGGGCGCTCTGGAGCGTGGTCTCGCTGGCTGAGAGCGCGGCGTTCGTGGCGTACGAGGCGTCGGCCTTGGCCCCTGGAGCGCCGTGATGCTGGCGTCACGGCTAGCAAGCTGCGCTGCGACGAAGGCCTTGGTGGCGAGACCCAGCAGGGCATTTGCTATCTTGGTGTCCACCTCCAGTGGCGTGTCCAGCCCGTCCACCGTGGAGAGCAGGGCGGCCAGCGTGCTGGCGTCCGCCTTGCCGAGGAGGGCGGCGTCCAGGGCTGCCGTGGTGACTGCGCCCAGGAGGGCCGCCGCTATCTTAGAGTCCACCTCCGAGGAAGTGTCGACGGCCGACAGCGGGGCGTACGCCGTCAGCGCGCTGGCGTCCGCCTTGGAGGCCTGCAGGCCCGAGATGGAGGCGTCTCGGCTCGCGAGCTCGGAGGCCAGCGCCGCGGCGGTGACGGCCCCCAGGAGAGCGTTGGCCACCTTGGTGTCCACCTCCAGCGGCGTGATCCTCGCCGCTATGTCTAGGGAGTGCTGGTCCACCACCGTCTTGAGGCCGTAGTTGGCGGCCACCGTGGCCAGCGTGGCGTTGTTGGCCGAGGCGATGGAGCCGTTCATGGCCGCCGTGGTGCTGTAGTTGGACAGCTTCAGGTCCACGCTGTCCGGGGTGCTCTTCGTAGCCACCACGCCCTCCAGCACGTCGAAGGCCGATTGGTCTGCCTTG